TGATGTCTGCTTTATGAAAACAACATCTCTGGGTAATACATTTATTTTGTGACTTTTATTGATTGTCACTTTAGGCTTTGAAAACTAAATATCAAGTATTAAATGCGTTCAAAGCTTTTCATGTTAAAGTTGGAAGGGAAACAGTAAGGCAACTAAGGTGTGTTCGAGTAGATAATAGTGGTGAATACCGTGGACTCTTTGAAAAGTATTGCAAAAATCATAGTATCAGACTTGAGAAGACTATTCCAAAGAGTTCACAACATAAAGGGGTAATAGTACTAATAGAGAGAATGAACAGAACGATTTGTGAGAGAATCAGATGTATGCTCTTCCATGCAAAATTGTCTACATCTTTTGGGGTGGGTAATGAGGACAACTGTTGATTTAATTAATCTTTCTCCGTTTGCTCCTTTGGATGGTGATATTCTTGAAAGAGTTTGGAGAAGTAATGATGTTTTTTTTTAAGTACTTCAGAATGTTTGGTTGTAGGATATTTGTTCACATTCCTCAACATGAGAGATACAAGCTTGACAATAAGGCTAAACAATGTATCTTCTTGGGTTATGTACATAAAGAGTTTGTTACAGATTGTGGGATCCAATTGGCAAGAAAATTTTTAGAAGTAGAGATATTGTTTTCTTGGAAGACCATACCATTGAAGACTTGGAATGGGCTACACCTCTGGTGTTTTTCAGTGAAGTACTTGTTGCTTTAGGTCCAGTCTCTCTTTCACCCATTATACATGATAATCACGAGGGAGACATCCAAGAAGAATAGGTTGATACAATTGATGAAATTAGTGAACTAGTAGTTGATGTTGATGAAGTATCTCTATTTGATCCTATAGAACCACAACATCCAAAGCAAGTCCTTCTTGAGTTACCTCAGCATGTAGAGCTAGCTCCTCCAGAACCAGCTGTTAAAACTCAGTTAAGAAGATATACCAGACAGTTACCTCAGCATGAAATTTTAGTATGTTGTTCACAATAACGAGTACAACGTAATGACCAATTTATTTTTGTCGAAACCCTTCTCAGATTGATATTTTTGCAAGACCTATGGAGTTAAATTTATTGTTATTTTGTTGATACCCATTTTCAGGTAATGAATTATTGATACTTTGATAGCCTCTATGAATTGTTCTATAGAGGATTATTGTAAACCCATTATTAGATTATAGTAGAAGGTTGAGAGCTGTGTTCGTGGTCATACCCTTAATTTAGGGGAATCACATAAATTTTGTATCTTGTTTGTGGTTGATTTATTATCTGCTTTTATTTTTAGTTGATTAATTTTTGTACATCACCCATTTAGTTTGCATAGAGAGGTAGAAAAATTAATCCCGCTAATTTTTTGAATTCACCCTATCAATTTGGTAGGTCCTCAAGAAGTGCCGAAACTTAGTAGAACCAATCATTTGCATAAAGACAGTTTTCAAACTGTAGTTAGATAATGCGGGCCCCAACCCCAAAATATGATACGAAGAATTAAGAGTGACTTCTATGGTATCGAGTAAAAGATTTCAGCAGTTATCTGTTTCATATTTGACTAGTCGGTGTTTATTATGGACACGGTAATGGGAACACCAAAGGAACTTCCTTCCCTATCCTCTAGTACTAGGAAAAAGGTCCTCTAAATATTCTAATACCCACACAAACATGGACCTAACTGTCTCACAAAGTTTGTCTGAGAATTTGGTTTCATTGGTAAATTGTCGCATGAAAAATAGCCTGTTTGTGCTCCAGCTACCTCCAGAAATTAGGCTTTTTAGGAGAATTGAGTGACTCTGCACGTTTATTGTTTGATATAGCAACCAAATCTTGCTTGCTAGAGGCTTTTTAGGAGAATTGGGTGACTCTGCACGTTTATTGTTTGATATAGCAACCAAATCTTGCTTGCTAGATTAATCTCTGACCAGGATCCTGATATTACAAGCTTGTGTTTTCAGAGTCACATGAATCATGGTCCAGGTCTTTTTCCGAAATCCAAGACCTTGGTTAAAGTTCAAAACATAGCTTTTTACTTCAGTGTCCATGCCATTTGAGTACGTTAAAAAAAAAAAAAAACACCTTTGTTTGACATCTCATCTTGTCTAGTGCCGTAAAATGTTTTAGGAGAACTGAGTGTACCCTGCATGTTTATTATTTGATATAGCAGCCAATCCTGCTTGCTAGATTAATCTCTGAACTGGTTCCTGGGATTACAGGCTTGCGTTTCCAGAGTTGCGGGAATCATGGTCTAGGTCTTTTCCGGAACCCAAGACCTTAAATTTCAGAACATAACTTTTTACTCTTTAACTATGACCCAAACTCCTGAACCCGCAAAATTATGATCCCCCCATCCCCCAAAAAACAAAGTCCATGTACAAATGTCTCAACTGAGTGTTCATGCCATTTCAGTACGTAAAAACAGCACCCTTCGTTTGACATCTCATCTTGTCCAGTGCCTTAAAATTAGATCGACTAATTATTGCCACATTTATGCCAATGCGTGAGGGATTTCAAGAGAGGATAACTGCAACAGATTTCCAGCTCTTATGGTTTCCACTCCGGAGCTAATGCAGGGATGCTCTCATATTTGGAAACAAGCAAAAAAAAAAAAAAAAATCTCCACCCATCTAAAGATTAAAATGCACTTACCCCTCCTGGTTAAGGAACTACTCACTCCCAAGCACGCCATATAATCCAGTCTCTCGGTTCAAATGGGGGGCAAAAAAAAAGGTGATCAAGTATATGTCCAAGTCCTTTTTCATCATGCTCAGCTCACAGCATAGAAAATCGAGTATGGACAAATACAACTCATCATACAGTGGAATAAACAAGGTTAGCACTTAGAATCACTTATATTTGACAGCTAAGTTTTACAGATTACATACACGTAAATATTATCCACATAACAGCACTACACCCTACCATCACATAGTGATACATGCTCCACTCAACCCACAGGCTAAAACTATCTAAAACCACCAATTACATGAACTATAGAAGTGTAACTTCAAAAAGAATGGACCTAAAGATAAATAATCTCCCATGCTGAGCCTAAAGCCTGCCGACTACAAGTACATCCGTTCATGGTAACTGTGAATAATCCTACGTGAGATATCAAAAACAGGATTTCAAAAGCTTCACTCCAGGCTTTATATTAATGGTGTCAAAGGGATTCTCCTGTTCTACATGGATGTAATCTCTTGTTTTAAGTACCTGCAAGGTTACAGTAATAACAACATTGATGAGGTCAAACTAAAAACAATCAGAATATTCATCTTTGCCCAATGTGCTAATATTACTAGCAAATTAGGGCCTCAGTTTTTAATAATAACGTCATTACCCCAAAAAGGGTATCTAAGAAAAATACAAATAACATAGTCAGATGAGATATGTCACTTGTGAAGATATCACTGGGAACATGAAGTATAACTCCAGATGGCAAATCTTACCTTCATAGTAGAAGGGTAATAAGATGTGTAGTGCCTAGTACTGACTATGTACGATCTAACAATTAATTGGATTTTTGAACTAAATCAGTACTGTGCAGTTACCAGCACAAAAATGATATTAAGCCAAATTAAATTCAAAGATGAGGGCTAACCCCAAACCTTGTCTGCCTTTAAATCAAGTGCACATGAAGGAAAAAACAAGAACATGTGAACCAAATGATAAAAGAGACATCATCATCACTTTAGATCTAACCTTGCCACCGTTAAATCCACATAAGAAAGATACTAAGCCAAGTATGTAGATGCACAAAAAGACAAGTATACCCAGTAAGGAACTCTGGTAAACATACCAATGCTTCAAAAAACATCCTTGATGCCTCCTTACGAGTTTTACCAACTAGCAGGTTGTCCACTGGAAGAACCTTCCTTCCACGCTCTGCTTCCAAATCAAACAAGTTTTGGAGGTACTTGGCAACAGCTCTACAAGAAACAGAAAATATGAAACTTGTACAGAGATACTAGAGCCCTTCTATCAATAATAATGGTTTTCAGAAAAACAGTCACATTAAAGCTCGAAACATTCACGACAGGACAAACAGGACAAAACTTGCTAATGCAATCTAAAAGAAGCTCAAGAAAAAGAATTTGAAGAAACAAGAAACTTTGGAATCAGCCTCAACTTCAAGATGAGGCCCCCTTCCTGAGCTCCCGCTCATAGAATCTTATATAATTAAGCTGCTGCTCACTTTTTTGTAAATTCAATTATGAATGAAGAGCACTGTCGTAATTTCTAGAGATTCTGGACAAGGATCTAAGTATTGGCACGTGGTCCCATAAAAATAGACAGACTATCTACATAATAAAGTACAATACAATTCAAATCTCAAAAGATAAACAAAATGATTTTTACTATTCGCGGTTGAGATCTTTTTAAATTTTACTTTAAAGTTAATCTGACGGCTAATATTAACACTCTAAATTTAATATGGAAAATAGGGCCCTAAAGTGCATTTTGGGTGGTTTTTTAAAAGTGTTTTTAATACTTAAAACTTCTCATAAGTACTTTAAAAAAAAATAGTATTTGCAAACCGTCTCATCAACACCTCTACCACCACCAGACCCACCACAATCACCAGTACCACCACCACCGTTGCTGCCACTTTACCACCACCGCCACTATCCCACCATCACCCCTACCACATCACCCCCCAACCACCATCACCATTGTCACCTATAACTGTCACCATTACAACTAGTTGTCATCATCTATCACAACTATCACCGTCTCCCACCATCATCACTGCTGCCCACCATCACCACTGCTGCCCACCATCCCTACCATCGCTCCCCTCCACTATAACCGGTGTTTAAATTCATTTATTTCTCCTCTATCTTTGTAATTTGATTTTAAGTGTAAATACAAATATGTTTATTGTTGATCATTTTTTTTTATTATTCTGTACCGTCAGGCACGAGAAATAACTAGTTTGATTATATTATATCAGTTTAGTAACTTTATCTGTCTTTTATCTATCAAAGTCCAATTTCCCAAATTGGGAGAATGAAGAATCGAGATTCACATTGAGTTCAGGAGCAGTCCTTATTTATATAGGTCATAGCCCTTTGGAGGCCTTTTTCTTTTTGGGTTGTTTGATGCAACGTGAACCCTAACATCTAGGAGTGATGCCGGAAGTTTACTCTCTCTCCTCATCTTCACCTCCACCTCCTTTATATCTTTACTTTTATGCACTTGAGTCCATGCAACACATCATGTTCAAAAAATACAACCAGCAAACCAAATCAACAGTTCAAATTTGCTCCCAAAATCCAATTATTCAAGCTTAGACAATTCCCTCTCTAGGAACACAAAAGAACCCAAACACATTTGACTGAAATTCAAACTGGATCAATATCCTCCCTTTATAACAAACACTTTGTACCATTTAACACGCAAGCAACACAAACTTGCTCACATTATTCAAATCACCTTATCTGGTGAAACTTTTGATACAAAATATCAAAGGACAACATCATCCATGGCAATCATGTACAGAACCAGCAAAGATGCTTCACAAAAGCCTGGTCCAAAAAATTTCAGCCATGTCCCCAATCCTCCAACCCAGTGTGCACAAAATTAAGCTAAACAAGCTATTTTTTGACAAGCTCAAAAACATAGATACACACACATACATGCACACAGAAACACACACACGCACACCCACATATATATATAAAGAGAGAGAGAGAGAGAGCAAACAAGAAATGAAAAAAGAAAAAGTTTTCTCCTAGAACTTTCTTTGTAGCATGGCACTACGGCAACTATGTGGTACACAAAATAGTCCAAAAGACCACTTGTTTGCACCCCTCTAGCATATTGAATTCAAGGAAAACATTAATACATCAGCTTACGGCCTTTTGGGGTTGTTTGATTCAACGTGAACCCTAACATCTAAGAGTGATGCCTGAAGTTTACTCTTTCTCCTCATTTGCGCCTCCGCCTTCTTTCTATCAGTTAAGTTTAGAAAATGAGAATACTTAACACAATATGAGGGAGGCTAAGAGTAGTATCAAATTAACCTACCTCTCCCTCTCAACTTGTATTTATAGTTACTTAATAAATTACCAAAGACCAGTATACCATTAGATTGGTACACTTATTACAATCATAACAATATAATACAAACTTAGAACAGATGGTTGTAAGACTAGTGCGACTCAATGTTTTGGTGAACATATATGCAAGCTGATCCTCTAATTTCACAAATGGTGTTGCAATATCTCCATCAAATATTTTGTCACAAATAAAGTGACAATCAACTTCAATATGTTTGGTCCTCTAATAAAATATGAGATCAGCAGCAATATGAATGACTGTCTGATTATCACAAAACATCTATACGGGGAAGTTGAACTGAGAAACCAATTTTTCGAACAAAATGTAATAACCATGTCAACTCACTAGTTGAAAGCACCAGACCGTGTTACTACTATTTGTTTCTTACTTTTTTATGTGACATTATCTCCCAAGAGAGTACAATAACAAATAGTTGATCTTTGATTCGAGGGAAAACCGACCTAATTAGCATTTGTATAACTTTTCACTCTAAGATGTCCATCAACCCGATACAATCCCCAAGTTCAGAGGCAAGTTTGAGGTATCGAAAAATGCAAATAACTGTATCCCAATGTGGCACTCTAGGACATCTCATAAACTAACTCACAACATTAACTATATAAGCAAGATTTGGTCAGGTAATGGTGAGATAATTTAGCTTTCCAACCAACCTGCAACACTGACTTGGATTTTCAAACAGTTCACCATCATCCATCAAAAGCCTTTGATTTAGATCCATAGAAATATCGACTGGCCTACCACCCAGCAAACATACATCCTCCAGCATGTCAAATACATATTTTCTCTAAGACAAATAGATATCCTTCTTAAATCTGACAACTTCAACACTAAAGAAATACCTGAGTTTGCCTACGTCTTTAGTATGAAAGAAGATTTTTAATTTTGCAATACCCTCAGAATCATTACCAGTAATTATGGTATCATCCACATAAACAACCAATGTAATATACCCTATATCATTCTATCGGTGGAAAACAGAATGGTCTGTCTGACATCTGAAAAGACTAAACTCTAACACTGTATCTGAGAACTTACAAAACTATGCCCTCGGTGACTGCTTTAAACTATACAGAGACTTCCTTAGTCGATACACTCTTATGATGCTCCACCTCAGCAGCAAATCCAGGTGGCTGCTTCATGTAGACTTCTTCAACCAAGTCACCATGTAAGAAAACATTTTTGATATCGAGCTAAAATATGAGTCAATCAAGATTAGCAGCCAAAAAAATCAAAACACGAATTGAAGAGATTTTGGCCACAAGAGAGAATGTCTCCTGATAATTAACATTATAAGTTTGATAAAGCCCTTGACAACAACTCGGACTTTGAGGCGCTCAACAAAACCATCGGGATTAAATTTGACGGTATATACCCACCAACAACCAACAGTCCATTTACCTGAGGTAAAAGAACTAAATCCTAAGTGTCATTATGATGTAAGGCATCTATCTCCACTTCCATAGCTTTCCTCCAACCCGTATTAGACAATGCATCTTGTAATGTCTTAGGAATAAAAATAGTAGACAACTGAGAAGTAAAGCAAGAGAAGACAGGAGATAATACATCATAAGAAACAAAATTACTAAGAGGACGGTTAGTAACACACGACCGAATACCTTTACGAAGAGTAATTGGTAAAGAATCAATAGGAGCAGGGACAAGTATCGAAAAACAACAAGGAAGATGGAAGGGGCACCTTAGTAGGTAGTGGAGGAACAGAGGGTAGAGGAAGGGGGGTGGAGATGACTGCCCAAAATCAAGGTCCAAAGAATGAGTAGAAGTTGGAAAATATGGGTCCGATTTAGTGAAGGTGACATCTGCACCAGTGAAGTATCAATTAAGGATGAGACTATAGCAAGGATACCTCTTCAGTGTGTGAGAATAACCAAGAAAGACACATTTTGTAGCACGGGGGCCAGGTTTCTCAAAACCGGTACCCAAGTTGTGAACATAATAGACACAGCTAAAGACCTTAGGGGATAAGGAAAATAGAGGAGAATCAGGGAAGATGATAGAATATGGACTCTTCTCATTTAACACTGAAGAGGGCATATGATTAATAAGATGACAAAGTGTAACAACTGCATGATTCCAAAAAACATCAAGGAATATTCACCTGAAATAGAAGTGTGCGAGTCACTTCCGACAAATGATGATCCTTACGTTCAGCTACACCATTTTGTTGAGATGTGTAGGCCATGAAATTTGATGAATAATGTCAGTCTTACGAAGATCAAGTAGAAAAAACTCAGAATCATATTTACGAGCATTATCAGAATGCAAAATTCGAATACGACAACCATACTAAATTTTGATTTCCTTACAAAATGTCTCAAATATATAAAACAATTCGGAATGAACTTTCATAACAAATATCCAAGTCGCACAAGGATAATCATCCACAAATGAAACAAAATAAGAAAATTTATTAGATAAAATATTCGTTATTGGGACCCATGCATCAAATTGTACTCCTCTAGCATATTGAATTCAAGGAAAACATTAATACATCAGCCTATGACGTTTTGGGGTTGTTTGATACAACGTGAACCCTAACATCTAGGAGTGATGCAAAAAGTTTACTCTTTCTCCTCATCTTCGCCTCCGCCTCCTTGCTATCAATTAAGTTTAGAGAATGAGAATACTTAACACAATATGAGAGAGGCTGAGAGTAGTATCAAATTAACCTACCTCTCACTCTCAACTTATATTTATAGTTACTTAATAAACTACCAAAGTCCAGTATACCCTTAGAGTGGTACACTTATTATAATTATAACAATATAATAATAAAAATCTCAACACTTTTTTTACTTTTATGCACTTGAGTTCATGCAACACATCA